CTGGAGAGCAGTGGTTATCCTGCCGTTCTGCTCGTGCTTACGAAGACATCCAGGTGATTAAACACAGGTTGCTGCTACAGGATCATCCCCTCCATCTGCCAGCAGCTGCTATGATTTTCTGGCCACTCCCCCTCCCCCCGTCTGATGGCAGTCATAGTAACACAGCTCCATTCTAGGTGCTGCTGTCGTGCTGTGATTTGGCTGTGATATCACACATCCAGATCTCCTGTGCCTCACCTCTGAGAGGCAGCTCTGCAGGACAGAACAAGGGGCAGCAATTTTAAACAGAAGAAAAAACAAGCGGATTTATATCGGGATAAGGGAGAAATTTCTCATACTAAGGGCGGTGAGGAACTGGCACAGGCTGCCCGGAGAAGCAAAGGTCAAGGTTGGGCTGGATGGGGCATGGGGCAACCTGACTTGGTCCACGGCCATGGCAGTGGGGCTGGACTGGATGATCTTCAAGGATCCCTTCCAACTGCAACCTTTGTGTAATCCCACTAACACCGAGCTCTGAGGCCAAGAGTAGGCAACAGCAGAGACTGTTCGATGGAGGGGTGAAGGAGAGCAAACTGAAGGGTCCTGCTTTATGATAAGGCATGTCTGTAAATCATTTATAAAGGGTTAATAGGTGAGTAATCACGTCTTTCAGTGTCTTGCAGGCAGGTGCTTCTGAGCACCTCAGAAATTCCCCTAACACCAGTGTTCCTGACGAGCTGCGTATTAAAACTGTTCATTAGCTACCTTAACCTGTTCAAAACCACTTCTAATGAGACAGCTAACAAGAGCTGACAGGCAGGTGGGGCTTCTGTTTCAAAAGAGTTGTGAGCCTCCAGCAACAAGGAGCTCCCACCTCCACGAGCCAAGAGCCAGGCAGGTGCTAAGGGTCTGCTGAGCAGATAGGTGAGCATAGCATGTAGGAGGATGAGAAGACTTCCAGGCTTGGGACCCTCAGCTTAGCAGCTGATGTAAGTTCATTTTCTGATTCTGGGAAGAAAAGCAATCCTGTGATTATCTGCTGCCTCAGTTTCCCCACCTACGCAATGGTGAAAGCTGCCTCATGGAGAAAAAAAGAGCTTTAGTGGCCAGAGGATACCAGGAGAGCTGGATAAGCAGCCTTGAAGGACAGAGGATGCATTTTTCTCAAAAGAAGGCTGAGATCCCAGCTGCAGGCAGCCAGCTCCTGCTTTGGTAAGCTCAAGACTGGTAAGGGGCGGCTCGAATAGCTGTCCCTCCCTGGAGCTGCTAACTTATAGATAAAACCTAAATGCTCATTAAAACACCACTTGGCAGGAACCCCATCCTCAATTACAAAAATCATTTCTTTTCTTTTCTTTTTTCTTTTTTCTTTTTTTTTTTCTTTTTTTTTTTTTGAGTCTGAAGCCTTTGGGGCCCATAATCTAATTAAATAAAGCCTTCTCACTTTCCTCTAGCCTGCTCCCCTAGCTTCCATTGTAGCAGTGAAGGCAAATACATTTTTTTAATTTAACAGAATCCCTTGCATCCTGTATCCCTTTCTGGTCAGAAAGCAGCTCTGCTCTGTGTCCTTCTCAGACAGGCTGTGTCCATCACCTTGGTTTTGTCCATCACCTTGCTTTTGTTCCTAGAAAGTGCCCCAATTTCTCGGATCCCAGTGCAGCTTCATCCACTTCCACTCTTTGTGCCCCCAAATGCAGAGAAAATTCCTGAGGCAGATGAGAACTTCATGCAGAGCATCACATCGGTGTCCCTTGAGCTGGCTCCAGACGATCCAGCTCTGGGCAGGAGCTGGGGAGCTGGGCAGGAAGGCAGCTCCAGGGGTTTCCTCTCCATCTCAGTGAGGTTCTTTTCTAGAGCCATGTGAAATTTTTTGGAAAAATTGTTCACTGGACGGAAATTGCAATTATAGGTCAGATAAATCCTACCTAGACGTGTGATGCACTTGTGCTGAACTCACAGAACATCAGCTGGATTAAAAAAAACCTGAGAGCAATCACAGTGGGGAGGAGGAGCTGGAGAGGTGGCTGATCTCACACTGCTTTCTCTGGGCTTTCCAGAATGTGGTTGGTGAATCACAAACCTGTCCTTCCCTGGACCTGACGTGAGCTCTCCTGCTCGATGCTCATCAGGAGAGCTCATAAGCACGTGCTCCAGCCCCGCTAAAAGGGAGAGCTGGGGGTCGCTCTCCTAATGCAGACCAGCAGGCTCATTTGAGGAGGAGGGTCTTGGGTCTCCATCACAGAGCCAGAGAAAAGTGCCAGAGAGATGAGAAGCTCAGCTGCACAGCTGGAAGGGTGCACACAGGCCACCCAGTCCAGCTTGAGCCCTTCAGTCCCAAAAATGCAGTGGGGAGAACCCAGCTCAGAGGAGAAGGAGCACATCAGGAACACCCAGAACATGAAGGGACCAGGCCAGATAGGAAGGAGTGATCACCAGACACTGCCCAGAGCCAGGGAAGAACCGCACCGAGACCTCGGCCACCCAGCCCTGAAGATGGCACGGCAGTGGGATGAAGCACCTGCCCGGGCTACAAGGGCCTGTACCCCAGCATGGGAGGGAGTCAGACCTGTCCCTCTGGCCCGTGATTCCTCTGCTGTAACTGCCATGGAGAACCACCATGAGCATCACGGGCAGAAGCTGTGACTCGTTTGGACCCACCTGACAACTGAGAGCCCGAACAGGGCGCCCCGTGGACCTGGCCCCAGCACATCCCTGGGAATGGCACTGCCCTGCCAAAAGGGGGAGGAGGATTTTTCACCCTCAGCAGAGGGTGGAAGGCTGGGGAAGGTCAGACAAGGAGTCGTCCCTGTAGCATGGTTTTGGCCACCAGCAGAGCTCAGTGGACCTCCAGAGATGTGGCTGTTGGCAACACCAGCCGCTCTAGCGACTGCTCAGACAAGTTCCACACAGTTGTTCCCCCAGCAGGAACCACTGCCCAGCCCCAGCACTTTGGTGGCAGCGGCAAACCCCACCGCAGGCTGAAGGCTGCAGCAGTACAGGATGGAGGGATCTGCAGCAGTGGGAAAACTCACGGAGGAAGGGGACAGAATGGGTCAGGTGCGATGGGCTGTGGGCTAAAGAAGCACGGGGTGCTACGTGTGGGGGAAGAGCAGTGGAGATCCAAGGGGATCTTCGGGGAAACCCACCCAGTTCATCTCCACTTGTGCTGAACTTGTAGTGGGAGACGAAAATGAGAACCATTCACATTCATTCTGTGAATCAGCCATCTCTCCAACTTCCCCCCGGGGTTTGGCTCCTCGCTTTCAGACTTTATCCATTGTTTGCTTGGACTTCTCCAGGAAAAGTCAGGTCAAGGGAAACCCCGGCCACGCCACAGACTCTGCAGCACTTATAATGGACAGCCTCATGAGGATGTGGGGATTTAGCATATTCTGATATGAAAATATCTGATAATAATATGCTACACTCCTGGCTATAAACATTATCTGCTGGCATGGGAGGAATTTAAGCCATAATGCCAGCTACCACAACGCAGGCCTGGAACTCCGTGGAAATACTACCCTGATCCAACAGCTACGCAGCTCTGTTTATCCTAGTAATTAATTCTCTCTTATGTTTAGTGATACAATTAGAGAAACACTGCCATTCTGATGGGCTTGTTTCCACCAATGCCTCTTCCTGTATTTACACCCCACAACAGCCTTGGCCTTACAGAGAAGGGTGAAATCGCGTTTATGAAGACAATGCCACATGCATCCCCAAAGCATTTTGTAGATGGGAAGTTGGGCTCCAAATTACACGTTTATTGTGCAAGCACACAATGAGCTCAGATTAAATATTGACTAAAGCCAGTCTAACACCCAAAATAATGAAGATGAGCACAATGCTGTGATTTACTCCCAGCCACTAGAGAAACACACATCTGTAGCATGTAACATGCCCTTCCCACAGATACACGCTTTGTATTCCAGCTAGCCTTAGGCAGGAAAATTTTTTCTCATAAATTATGGATTTTCTTTCCTGACTGCCAGCATATCCACATCACCAATTGCAAAGGAAACATATATAATAACAAAAATCAAATGCCATCCCCCCAGTGTAGTGACAGGCAGGTGACCAGCTCCTTGTATTACAAAAGTTAAGACAGGAAAATGGAAGAGAGACATGGCCAAAAACAGAGAATCCCTTCTCTTTTGTCCCTTAGGATGGGAGGCAGCAGGGAGGTGTGGGCACGGCAGGTATCTCCCCGAAAGTACTCCAGCCCTGGCTGTGCAGGGAAAACCACCCGTCCTTCCTCTGCCAGCCCCCTCCCCAGACTTGCAGAAAAAAATCAGGGAGACGCAAATGCTAATACAACAATTACGATAATGACAGTGCTGGAGGGGCCAGCACACACCCCTCGCAGCAGCCCGACCTCTAAATCCTCTAATACGGCGCCGCCTCATTCAAGATTAAAAGCAATTGTAACCTAGCAGACAAAAAGGCACGGGAGGCAAGGCAGGATCTGGCGCGGCCCCGCTCCATCCAGATGCAGTCATATCACTTCAGCTTCTCTGTACCATCTCCATGACAACCATGTAATTTGGATGCAATAACTGCTGCCGAATTGATCTTTAAATGTAGCTTTGTTATAAAACATCATGCCGAGTGCATCAGGCTGGGGAGAAAGCTGGGAAGCCCCCAACGAGTGAGGGCTGTGATTAAACAGCCCCCCTTAATCTCCAGCTGCCCAACAGCCTTGCTGTTCCAATAAATGGGTGGATGAACGGATTTTAAAAGCAGGACCAGCGCACAGCGATTGTAGTGCAACATCCCCAGTGAGACACCACACCGAGAGCTGGAAAAATGTGTCCATGTATATCCTGAGAACGGGCATCTTTCCTCGTGCACGCACACACACACACACACATCAGGACGAGTCGATCTCCAGCAACCAAAGCACCCAGCTGATGCATCACATAATCCGAACAGGAATCAAAACCGGTATAGTTAAACAAAATAGGAGGGGGATCGATGTGCTGCATGACAATGAGAGCAGGGGAGCTCGCATTCCTACTTACCCAAGCAACGAGCTGTTTATTTTTTGGTCCCTCCACAAATGTAGCTCCCTTTTCTCTTCAACAATCCATGCAAAATAATCTGCAGCCCCACAGACGGAGGAGTGGCCCCATCCCTCCCCCTCCGCCACCTTCCTAGACCTCCCTGTTATTGGCTTCCTTCTCCTTTCCCTCCCGCTCTCCTCTCTCGCAGGCAGTGGTTACACCTCCCAGCCTTCCCTCAAGGTGTCAAGAGACTGCTCGGATCCAACGTGCAGGGTGGGAGGGACGGAGAGGAGGAGGAGGCAGGGAGCGATGGTGAATGGACCCAGCGAAAGGATGGAAGAAAAGCCCCGCAGGAGCAGGGCAGGAGCGGGGCTGCTGGGGGCTGGGAGGCTGCTCTCACCCTCGCAGCTGCTGTCAGTGACCCTGGGGTGCTGGGGTCATCCCCCCACAGGTACCTTGCAAAGCCTGGGGGGACCAGGTCTGCTCCCTGCCAGCAAACCACCACCCGTCAGGCTGGGACTGGCTTGAAGTTTTGGCTTGAAATCCTGCCAAATACACACACACTGACTTTTACAACGGCACACTTCCATGCACAGACGTGCAGAGCTGGAAACGTTTGCAGGACCCACCCTGGTGCAGACCTCCATGCTGTAGGTCAGATGGATCTGAGCCCTGGTAATCACTGGGCTGCAGCCCCATCCCATCCCACTCTGTCCCATCCCATTCCATCTGAGCCCAGCCCACCTCATTATATCCCATCCCCATCCCATCCCACTGTCCCATCCCATTCCCGCTGCCTTCAGTAGCAGGGCTGCCCGTGTGCCCACCAGCTGATCTCACTCCAGAGCTTCTCGCTCCTCCACCACGGTGGGTCAGACCACGTGCCTGCTCAGCATCACTGGGAATTTCTTTAGCAAGGTTGACACATCTCCCTTGTAACAGCCCTTGTGTGCAAAGGCAATGGCTTTATCTACACGCTAGAAGAGGCACCTGGCTGAGCCCTGCTGAGCAGGGGGGCTGGTGATGCAGGGTGGGTTGGAGGGCCATGGTGACACAGCACTTCCCGTGCTCTGTGTGCCCCATTCCTGTCCCTGCACCCAGCTGGTGGCTGCAGTGACCCACGCTTCCGTGGGCACTCAGGTCAGGGCTCTCTGGATCTTGGTCAGTTCCTTACAAGCTCGACACGAGCATACTGTACCACAAGACCTCCTTACAGCCCCCTGCCATGCACAGCCCATGGCAGGCCACCACAGCTGCCCGCCCTCAGCCCTGTGCCCCACACGCATTCTTCCCCTCCGACAGCTCACAATGGGCCGAAGTCTGCCACACCGGCTGGACTTGTGAGCAGGCAGGAAGGGTTTGGGGTCAGTCCCAAAGACGTGCTCCACAATTCCCTGCAGAAAACCACTCCCTGGACCTGGAACGCTCGCTCCAGAGAGCGCACGCTGCTGAATAAGCAGACAAATCCCCAACATCTTGTATTTAAAACATCATTATGATCTCTAGCAATGCATCCAAACACCAAAGCACAGCCACTCGATGAAGTCATGTCCTGGAGCAGCTCAGCTCCAGGCCGGATGCACTTCCAGCAGGGATATCCACAGCACAGCACTGGGCCTGTGTGCCAGGGATGGCCGTGGTAATGAACCGTGTAATGAGCCACCCTGCAGCTAAGGCCAGGAGTTGTCCAACAAACCCACACGTGAACGAAAGGATCTGAGCAGGAGGGGCACATGGCATGGGACCGGCATCACGGATGGGGACAGGTCTGGGCTAACCTCCCTTGGGTTCCTTCCTCTCACACTATCACAAAACTTTGTCCTGCTTCTGTCTCGGATCAATGCTAATGTATTTGTAATCTACCAATTATCAGGTTCGAGAGCTTTAACAGAGTGGAAAAAAAAAAAGAAAGCATGATCAATGTTCATCAGCCTGTTGTACGGTTCGGGTCTGAGGGCAAGCAGCAAAATCCAATTTCTGTGCAGCCAGTCCTAAGAAGCAACATTTGCAGCACGAGAAAATGAGGTTCTAGTTTCTAAGCATACGTGCACTAGTGGGGCTATATATAACTGGGTTATCAATCACTGCTCCTGGCAATGAGCTCACTGACAGCTGGGCTCAGGGAGGAACCTCCCCGCGTCCCATGAGGTGCTGGGCTTGTCCTGATCAGCTGTAGTGCACTGCAGGAAGAGAGAACCCAAGCTTTTCTGGACTGTCTGCAAATCTCTGTCACATGCCTTGCATATGTCATCACATTTTTCAGAATTAAGAAAATTCCTTAACTATAATGATGTTGTACAAGCTGTCCAGCTGCCCTGCGTATGAACAGTGCAGATGCTGCTTGCCAGCTGTGACGTGGGCTCTTTGGGAGCAGTCTCTGGGAGGGGCCACCTTCCCTCCACACCGACACCAGGCCCACCCCTCAAGCCTCAAGCAATGGGAGCACATCTGGGAGCATTACAGGGACTGCAGGCAGCAGAGCTGAACGCTGCAGACCACACAGCAGGTATGGAAGTTAACTGGCAGTACTCTGCACAGCATGGGACACTCCAGCCAGGCTGATGGGAGCAAGCATCGGGTGAACAATGGGAATCTGTGGTCCTGACACTGCACCTCTATGGGATGCACTGTTAAAATCGAGTTCTACAAGCTCTCTGACCAATGTGGAGAAGCCAGATCTACCCACCCGCTGCCTGCAGGTCCTGCTGACCTCCCCTGGCAATTCAAGAACCTTAACTGCAACTCAGCATCCACACAGAATCGCAGAATCACAGAATGGCCTGGGTTGGAGGGGACATCAAGGATCACAAATCTCCAACCCCTTGCCACACGCAGGGCCACCAACCTCCACACTTCATAGCAGCCCAGGCTGCCCAGGGCCCCATCTGACCTGCCCTTGAACACCTCCAGGGATGGACGGGGCATCCACAGCCTCTCTGGGCAGCTGTTCCAGCACCTCACCATTCTCTCTGTAAAGAACTTCCTCCTGACATCCAACCTAAATCTTCCCTCCCTCAACTTCAAACCATTTCCCCTTGTCCTGCTGTTATCTACTCTTTCAAAGAGTTGATTCCCCTCCTGTTTGTAGGCTCCCTTTAGGTACTGAAGGCTGCAATGAGGTCACCCCACAGTCTTCTCTTCTCCAGGCTGAAAGAGCCCGGCTCCCTCAGCCTGTCTTCATAGGGGAGGTGCTGCAGCCCCCTGCTCATCTTTGTCGCTCCTCTGGACCCTCTCCAACAGCTCCCTTTCTTGTATTGGGGGCTCCAGACCTGGACACAGCACTGCAGATGGGGCCTCACAAGAGGAGAGTAGAGGGGGACGATCACCTCCCTGTCCCTGCTGGCCATCCCTCTTTTGATGGAGCCCAGGATCCCATTTGCTTTCCGAGCCGCAATGCACACTGCTGTCTCACGTTCACCTTTTCATCCATCAAGACCCCCAGGTCCTTCTCTGCAGGGCTGCTCTCAAGGAGCTCCGTCCAGTCTGTATGGATGCCTGGGATTCCTCCAGCCCAAGTGCCAAACTCTGCACTTTGCTGTGTTGAACCTCATCAGGTTCACCCTGCCCACCTTTCCAGCCTCTCGAGGTCCCTCTGAATGGCATCCCTTCCTTCAAGCGTGTCAACCGCACCACTCAGCTTGGTGTCACCAGCAAATGGCTAAGGGCGCACTCGATTCCGTCATCGCTGTCACTGATAAAGATGTCAGAGAGCACCAGTCCCAAGGCACAGCCCTGGGGGACGCCGCTTGTTACCGGTCTCCACCTGACACAGAGCCGTTGATGACCACCCTCTGTCTGCGGCCTTTGAACCAATTCCTTATCCATCCAGTGGTCCACCCATCAAATCCACATCCCTCCAATTTGGAGGTAAGGATGTGGTGGGGGACCGTGCCCAAGGCCTCACTCAAGTCCAGCTAGATGACATTGGTTGCCTTTCCCCTGTCCACCGACGCCATCACTCCAGCACAGCAGGCCACCGGAAGGTCAAGCATGACCTTCCCCTGGTAAGCTGTGCTGGCTGTCTCGGATCACACGCCCATTCCTCATGTTGATGAAGCATCCTCGTCCAGGAGGATCTGTTCCATGATCTTACCAGGCACAGAGGTGAGACCCACTGGCCTGCGGTTCCCAGGGTCCTCCTTGCTCCCTTTCTTGTCGATGGCAGCGACCTGACCCTTCCTCCAGTCATCTGGGACCTCACCTGACAGTCACGACTTTTCAAATATGATGGGGAGCGGCTCAGCAACCACCTCAGCCAGCTCCTTCAGAGCCCTGGGATGCAGCCGTCCGGCCCATAGACTTGTGCACATTCAGTCTCGTGAGTCCCACCTCAGCATCCCTCCAACAGGCAGTTTTCCAGCCGTGCCCAGCTCATGGCACTCACAGCACACGAGGACACTTCTGGGGGCTGTGCAGCCTTCTCAATTTTTTTTTCTACAAAAACACTGTAAATGTTTGCATGTCCCCAGGAATGATTTTGCTTCCACATCCTCCCACTGCTGTTTTTCCACAGCAGATGCCCTGTACTTCCAGCTGGGACTCACCAACTCTCGGTACCAGTCGCTGTGATGCAGCCAGATGGGAGGGGAGGCAGCTCTGTCCCCACTGGGTGCTGCAGAGGGCTCTGATACCCACAACAACCTGCAGCATTTATTTTCTCCTGGACATACATGCATATGAATGTATACACAGGCATGCTCACTTATAGTTCTTAACACTAGTAAAAATAATTTCCATTCACTGCTCTTTCCAGTTAGCCTTCCAGTTCTCTGCATCGCGTAACAGTTAATTCATAGCTTTTATTACCAAATCCTTGCTTTTTCTGTTGTTCTTTTTTTATTATAACTATTATTATTGCTGCTTTTGTCATCCTTAACAATGACAGACTGTTAGCTCAGAATATCTCTGATAACCGCAAAATCCTGTGCATGCTGGGGAGGAGACAGCCTCTATCAAAGTTCTCCTAACAACCCTTCTTTATCACAAATTATTCCGTTCTTTACCAACCATTTCTTGTTCTTAGCTTAGGAAAATTGACCACTCTTTAGTGCCTTGCATATGTCATCAATTCAGGATTTACATTAGGCTCATAACAAACACAACTAGGTCATTTAAGCAACCATTAATTTCAGTAATCAATTCACCTTTATCTGTTGGGCTGAGGTCTGATATAGAGTTATACCCATTCACCGCCACACTTTTGATAACAGAAAATTATCACCCATCACTTTTAG